GTGTGTGTGTGTGTGTGTGTGTGTGTGTGTGTGTGTGTGTGTGTGTGTGTTTATGGGATCACCAAGCAATGGTGAGGACCAGTCCTCAGGCTGTAGCTGGGAGGGATGCTGGGGTTACGTTTCCAAAGAGGAGACATTGTCCTGGAATGTCAGCAGTGGATGGATGGTTGCTCTCTCCCAGGCCTTCCAGCCAGCGTGCTGTCTCCTGGCTTCATTTGCCAGGTCTGTATCTATGGGGAGTAGTTGAGGGTGCTTTTTGGCAGAACATCACCTCTGGAAACCATGCTCCATCTGTTTGGAGGAGGCAGATCAAAGGGAAGGGATTAGCGGGAGAGGGTCAGGGTTGAGTGGTAATGACGGGAGGAGGTGCGGAGGAGTTAGGCGGCTGTGTGCTCTAGCCCCTCGCTGAGCCATGGGCTTAGGAGGCAGATGGTGGCTGCATTAAGTGGAGTAGAACTCAAACTGAAAGGAAAATGTCACCAAAAAAGAAAACACACAATCTAGGAGGGGCAGGTTTTTGTTGACAAAAACCATCATGAAGAATAGCCAGGTTCTAGGACTCTTGGAAGCAAGGGCTCCGTCCCTCCTGCGGGAGTCCCCGTGTGCAGAAGTATGCCTGTCAGTGTTTTTCTTCTCTGAGGGAGTGGGTGGAGGAAGCCACAGGACAGCAGGACCAGACCTAGGCCTGGGCCTCCTGCCATTCATCAGGGCTGATGACCGAACTGTCCCTATTAGCACGCTGTCAGGTAGCAATCCTTCACTTAGCCCAGCAGGCGTCTTGGGCTCGGAGGGGGCAGGATCAGGGTCCTGTGGCAGCCAGAGAACGGCAGGGAACTGGCACTGGTGTGGGCACTTGCTGTCTGTCCCAAAGAGAAGCCTGCCTAGGGAGCACCACTAATCAATCCCTATAGTCCAGAGGGGCCCCTGAGAAGGGGAAAAGAGCTAGCGGTGGACAGCCCACCATGCCTCATTTCTAAGCTGCCCGCAGGTCTGCTGGACCCTTTGGCCTCCCTGATGGCACCCTGTTTGGGCACCAGGAGGGCAAGACAGCTGGAAAGTGACATGCTTGCAGCACGAGTCCTGCAGAGAGCTTGGGCGTCAGTCCAAGGCACATCTGACCCACCAGCCCCATTGCTAATGAGCTGTGTGACCTCGGGCGAATTACATGTGCTCGCAGACCTGCTTTCCCGTCCGTGAGAGGCCTTAAGATTATCAGTCTCACAGGCTTATTTTCCCCCATGGTTTTATTATTAAAAATTTCAGACATATGGAAAAACTAAAAGGATTTTCAAGTGAATGCATACATCCTTACCCCCAGAGTCTATAGTGAACATTACACCTGCCGTATCACGTATCTTTTTCTAGACTCCTCAGTGTTATTTTGAAAATGAGAATAAGCAGTAGATGTGGCAATGTTTCACATGGTGCCTGGCCTGCATTAGGCCCCTTTCTGGAAGGTGGGGAGGTGGAGGAGAGGCCCAGGGGGATGCTGTGACGGGGGCAGTGTTGACTTCCCCCTCCACTGTCTCTAGGACTTTGGTTTTCACGGCCGGATCTCGGAGCACCTGCTGGATGTCAACGTGCTTTCCCCAGTCCTGGATGGAGCCCACTGGGAGGTGAGTGTCTCTGGGTGACAGATAAGCCCCAGCCAAGCTCTGCCCATCTGAGGGTGCATTTCCGGGAGCTCCCTCCCTTCTGATTCAATAAGGGATGGCCCTGACTGTGCCTGCGATGGGCTGTCAGTCATTCCTGCTCTTTGCTGCCATGAATGAAGTCATCCTTTCTCCCCGCCCTGCAGTGTACATCTATGTGTTTATCCATTTTTCTAGCAACTGAGGGATGACCACTTGCTCATGTGCAAAGCACTGTAGACTGTGGACTCCAAGCCACTTCTTGACCTGGCCCTTTCAGCCCCTGCAGGCTCCCCCTTGGCCCACCTGCCACACGCCAGCTGTGCCCACCACTCACTGTTCCCGGGGCGCACCACCCGCCTCCTTCACTGCGCCACCTGCCGTGCTGCTTCCCCATTTGTACCTTCCCAGAGGTGGTCGTGGAGGTCCACTTCTGATGTCACCTCCTCCAGGCAGGATGAATCGTTCTGTCCCTTTGCTCCCCATAGTTCTACTTCTTCTCTTTTATGGTTCTTGGGTCTGTCTCCCTCCCAGATGGAAGCTCTGTGTGGGGACATCTGGCCCCCAGCGGGATACAAAGATGACTTAGACACAGATCCTGTCCTTAAGGAGCCTTGAAGCCAAGGAGGCCATCCTTTCGGACTCAGGGCTCAAGCCCCTCATTTTTATTACGGTTGCCCCACGTTGTTACCCGTTTTACATTTTAGTTTGTTACATAGATTGGCCTGTGTGGGTTTTCATTTTTCCCCTGAAAGTGAGAGAGGGAGCTCTCTGCTGAGCTCAGTGTGATTTGTAGGGGAGATGGTGGTGAGTTGAATACAGGAAGGGGCGAGGGGGTGGGGGCCACCAGCTGCGGGCTCTGCCCAGGCTGACATGATAAGCAGTGGCAGCGCTGCGGGAGCCCTCTGCTGCGGGCACTGGGAGGTACTCAGGCAGCATTTCTCTTTTTAATGGAATTTGGGGGAGCTGACTTTTAGTTCGGGCCCTACCCTTCCTCACCCGTCTGGATGGTAGCGTCGGCCCCAGCTGCCGGGGCTCCGGCTGCCAGTGGAGAGGCATGGGCGGCTGTGGGGACAGGGCTGGGGACACGGCCATGGGCCAGCCCGGCCGGAGCCCCACGGGCAATGATGGAGTGAGTTGTCACCTGCCCTACCTCTCCTGTTAACCCTGCTGTCCCAGAACAGACGGGACTCCCTTCGGCATGACAGAGGAGTGTGGGGTCTTGGATGGGGACTGGCCCTGCCAGCGCTGGGGTTTTGTGCCTTAGGGTGGGGAGAGGGGAGGAGCAGGAACAGGGGAGCTGACATGTGGGGCCTGCCTTCTCTGGGCCAGGAGTCGGGCTTTATGCTCGTGAGCTGCTGTAATCCTCGCCGCCAGCCCTGTGAGCTGTGGAGTTACTGTCCCCTCTTTTAGTGGAGGAGACTGGGTCCCCGGCTAGGAAGTGGTGGAGTAAGAGCTCGAGTCCAGGCCGACGGTGCGGCCGTCCCTGAGGCCCCACCCCTGCAGGAAATATTTGAACTTACCAGCAATAGCCCTTTCACCAGCTTGCTAGATCAGCCTAGACACGCAAGCTTTAAAATGAGATGGGGGCAGCGGGCGCCTGGGTGGCTCAGTCGGTTAAGTGTTCGACTCTTGATTTCGGCTCATGATCTCAGGGTCGTGAGATCGAGCCCTGTGTCAGGCTCCGTGCTCCATGTGGCGTCTGCTTGACATTCTCCCCTCTGTGCCCCCACCACCTCACTCCATGAGGTTTTGTTTTGTTTTGTTTTTTATAGATGGTATAATCAGTCCCTGACTGGGAAGGGGGGGCATCATTGGTTACTGATGGGACCCGGGTATCTGGGGGGGCCTGGAGTGAAGCAGTGGACTACCTTGTCTTCCTCCTTGGGGCTGCCCAAATGGTATCCTTTCCGTCTGGAATGTAGTAGTGCCCTCTCCTTTCACCACGTCCCCATCTCTCCAGGGTCCTTCCTCTTCCACGTGCCTGGCTGCTGCCTCAGTGACCAATGCCCATCACAAAGCCTCCCTGTACATCACTGGCGCTGCACGTCTGGGCCTCTGTGGGTTTGAGGTGTTCATGGATGTCTCCGCTTTCTCTTTGCAGCTCTCAGTGAAGGCTTCCAATGACAGGAGGCAGGATTTTCTTTTTTATATGTTGTCTCCTTTAGCCTCTGGCTTCTGGCTCTGTAGGCAGTGGCTGTGGCCTCTGGCTCTTCCTCCCTAGGCCAGCCAAGCCAGTCCTGGAAGTAGCTGTGAGCCTGGCGGCTTAGCCACAGCCCCCGGAGGGGCTATGATACAGCAGCTAGGCCTCCTCTTCTGGGTCCCAAGTGGTCATCCTTCTCAAGAGCCACTTCCTGGTACTTCCTCCTAGGCGCAGGAGTTGGCTGGAGAATTAAGGCACCCGAATGCTGACCTCTCCAATATATACTTGTTCCTGCTCCTTCCCTACAGGCCCAGAGGTTGGGAAGAGAAGACAAGGATGGCAGCCAGCCCAGCCAAGATGAGCAGCGGAGCAAGCCGTCCAGAGGCTTGGAGAGGTACAGTACGTGGGAGGCCGCCCTCCGGGACCTTCAGGATGGGGTGGACTTGGGCAGGACTCCTGGCTTTGGTGCTCCTGGCTCAGTGTGATCCTGCCTGAAGGCAGACGGTGAGCTGACCTGATGGCCTCGCAGAGTCTGTATGTGCATGTGCACGTGTGTACACGAGCATACCCTTGGATTCTGCCCCGAGACAGGAATGTGGGTACATTTGGTGGGACTTTGTGCAGTGCTGTGGGCTGAGGCTGGAGGAACTGGCTTGGAGCTGTTGCCTTGCGCATCAGCAGTGGTTGGTAGCCCACTATGGGTGCTCACGCGCGAGGCAGACAAACGGGGACAAACGGGGATGGAGAGCAGAGAGACTGGGAGAGGGGGACAGAGCCTTCCAGCTTCTGAGGCCCGGGCTACTGTGAGAGGAGAGCCACCACTCTGGAAGAGGAAGCAGGCCAGTTATTCTGCTTTTTGAACCTTGAGGCTCTGTCAGCCTTCCCACAAGCTAAAAGCTCCAGCTTCCCGCATTTTCTGTCATCTGACCTTTCTGTAGTCTGGCTTCTCTCTTTCTCCCTGTTTTCCGCTCAGTTCTTCCATCCCTGCCCGGCTTCAGTGATGGTGAGCACTGGGAGTGGACACAGCCGTGAGAGGGCCCAGCTGTCACCCCGGGACAAGCAGATGCAGTGCAGGGACCTGAGCGGGCTGAGTCTGGTCCAGGCAAAGGGAGAGCTCAGCAGGGAGGTTCCCCTTCCTGCTTTTCTGACTGCTTTGCCCTCCGTGGCTCCCCATGGATGTAGGGCTGGGGCTGGAGCCCTGTCTGAGAAGAGGAATGGACCTAGGTCCACGTATCACACTCTCCAGTTCTCTCCCTACTCTCCCTGCAGGACTTACTCAGCTGCCCTGGCTGGTCTGACCAGGTTGTCTCCTCCATTGGTGCCTGGGAGGTGGCACCAGAGTCCCCTTCACAGCCAGGCCACCGAAGAAGGGCCTCTGCAGGCCTCTGAGGGGCAGCTCAAACAGGAGCAGGCAGAGGAGCCTGGGGACTCTGTAGGCAGCCCCGTTCCTCCCGGTTCCCTGCAGAGGTAAGGGGGAGTGGGAGGCCTTCCAGGCATGTAGTTGTCTGCACAGGGGCTGACAGCGACTGCTGGGGGAGCCTGGAGTGGTGGGGAGCTGGGGTGGGTTTGCAGGTTTCCACGAGTGCACAATGTGAGCTGGGGAATGAGGAAACCTGCTTCTTCTTAGTCCTTAGTCTACAGCTAAAACTGGGGTGCACCATCCGATTGGGGAGCCTAGAAACTCTTGAACGATGGAGCATCTCTTGTGATCCAGCTGTCTTCCTGCCGGGGGCTGGGGCAGAGACTGTCTCCCACCTGGGCTGTGCCCTCCATTAGGGGGGGCATTTGTTCCCATCCCCACCTGCCCGTGCTCCCCATGCCCTTAGCAGTCATCCCACTTCTAGTCCTACAGCAAACCCAAGGAGAGCCCTGTCATGTGGGCCGGGCCCTTCGGGGAGGGAAGTGCAGAGTCCTGGGCCTCCCTGAGGCCAGCTGAGGGGACCTTCGTGCCCCAGCCCCGCCCAGAGCCTGGCTTGCCTTTGCTAGTCCTTCTGTTCCCCCAGTGAAAGCAAGAGGCTGGCGTCAGAACTGGTTTGGAGCACGTTCAGTTGGGATGAGTCCCCGGGAAAGCCGAGCCGCAGCAATGTTGGGTCCACAGACTACCTGCTGTGTGCAGAGCTTCTTCCCGGGCACCGTAACCCTCCCGCAGCCCGCGTGGGTGCGTCTGCGGCCCTCTGTAAACAACCAGAGGAGAGGCAGACCAGGGAGAGTGAGGCCCGAGACAGGGACACATAGCTGGGGCTGATTCCCTTGTCCTCATCAGGGCTCTCTGACCCCAAATGGGTACACCTGGAGCCTCTTGTCTTCCCACCAGCTATAACACGGTTGCTTCCTTATTGTTATCAAGGGAGGAGACCCCAAGCCCACCTGCCGCCCATGAGAGAGCCAGGGAGCAGCGCTCCTGGGCCACGGAGCTGGGCCTTGGGCAGGAAGAGGCCAAGGAGCCCGAGGAGAAGGTGGCGGCCCACCCTGCCCCGCCAGTCTTCCCAGAGGCGTAAGGGCCAGTGTTAACGTCTGTCCCTGTCCTCCCTTATGTGTGCATTGCTTGAGTGCCCACCAACCCTGGGGGCCCTGCCGAGGGGGTGGGGTGGGGCTGACTGAGTGCGCCCTTTGTTGCGTGTGCCGCTTTGAGACCCCAGCCAGCCGTGAATGAAGGTGGACACGAGGGCTAGCGGAAACCTGGTAATCCCGTTTTCCGCTCTCCAAAGCACTGTTTTTCGCTTTCTTAGCAACATTTTATTGAGGTATTTACCGAAAGTACATAAACCTGAACTGTATGAATCAACCCATGCTTACACACGGATCAGGGGTAGAACATTTCCGTCCCTCCAGAAGGTTTCCTCATGTCCCCTTCCTCCCCGTGCACCACCCCAGGTCCCCAGGCTTCTGGCTTCGGTCCCCTAGGTGCGTCTCTCCAGTTCTCCGACTTGACATAAATGGAATTATACCATATCCAGTATATGCATTTTGGGCCTGGTCCAAAGCTCACCTCTGTTGTTCTACTCGCACTTCTCAAACTTTGAGATCATTGAGCTTTCCTCCTCCTATTGTCTCCTTCCCCTCTACCCCTTCTACAGGAGAGGAGACTGAGGCTTGCGGTGAAGGGATTTGCCCCACATCACCTCGTTGGTGGGTTGTATCACTAGGACGAGGCTCTGGTCGCTGGAGCCCTAGACTTCCTACTCAGTGTGCAGCCGGTGGTCCTTTTCTCTGCGTGGAGAGACAGGAGCCAGGGTTGTGCCGTTTGTCACGTCTGTGAACCGAGTGCCACGAAAGGATTAGGAGTCCTTGGAATGGGGGCCGATGTTGAGTAGAGACGGGTCGGTGCCCTACTCACAGCTAGCAGGGCGCGTGAGCTCCTGACTCTTGTCCTCACCACCGCACTGCAGTGATGCAGGGAAGGGGCAGCCCCGTGGCTCAGGTGGTGACAGCTCTGACACCGAGGAATGACATGGCCTTCCCAAGTCTCCTTGGCAGCTGTGGACAGAGGGTCAGGGTGCTTTCTATGAGGACAGGAGGCAATCGTGTTTCGGAGACTGGACTTAGGCCCCGTAACCTCCTCATTACCCATCTTCACAGCTCCATTTCTGTGTGTCGTGAGGAGTAGCTCTGTGTCTGGGTCTCATTTGTACCCGTGGGATTTTAATTTATGGAGGTGACTGAGTGACCACACAGGCCAATGCCATTAAGGAAGAATTTATTACTTACATTTCTAGAGAGAGGAGGGCATGCCGTGCCGTGCTAGGCCACATGGGGAAGGAGCAGGGTATGCCAGGAGGCAGAAGAGGCGAGAAGGGAGACCATGGCCCAGAGCCTTTATTGGGGTTTCCGTGGGAAGGAATGGGCGAGTCAGGCTAAGTATCTTCAGTGAGTGTGGGATTGGATAGTTTGACTACGTAGGGCGGGATTTCGGCTATGGGGGAGGCCCTCCAGTTGCCTGGTACCCGGCCGGCCCCTGCACGATTTGGTGTGAGTTCTGGAAGGAGGTGCTTGTGGTGTGGGCTCCCTGGGGGATTGGTTGGTTTGAAAGACATGTTCCCGGCTGTCAGTAAGAGCTGGCTAGTCCTGGGACCCGCAGTCTCTCCTTTATCAGCAAACCTCCACAGATGTCAGTACATTGTAAAATAACAAAAAAAGAAAAACCATGATTCCTTGAGTCCGTTGCCTTTCACAGATGTTGTCAAGCTGGATCAGAAGCAGTTAGGGGCAGAGGGGCCACCAAGAGGCTGCCCCTGTGTGTGCTCTGTGGCCTGAAGACCTGGGTCCCAGAGTCCGGGATTTGGTGATCCCAGCACCTTTCATGACGTGTTTGTAGAAAGCGGGTAAATGAGTTCAGACCACTGGGCCAAACGTGAAAGGGCATGGGATCTCTTTGGTTGCAATTTTAGTGGCCGTGCAGCCAGTTGAGAATGTCCCGGGCGCCACCACGTCCTCCCTCCGCAGCGCCTGCCCTCCCTGCTGCTCGCCTTCCTTGGTGGCCAGCCTGAAATGATGATGCCCCTGCGGGGTGTCCTCTCGGCCGCTGACTGTTGGAAACTGGGTCTCTGATGCTGACACCTGAGGAGTGGCCTCGAAATCAGACCCGCCTCTTCCTCTGAGGCTTCGTCTTCTCTGTTGTCTCCTCAATCATCTGGGCCATTGCTGACGGCCTTGGACCTAAGTGGGACATTGGGGACACTAGAGTTCTCAAACGAGGACACAGGGAAGAGCCTGCTGGAAGCCAGCCCTTCTTGCCCGCGTGCCAGCTTGCAGGCACGCTCACCCGTGCGCGTCGCCGGGCCGCAGTTTGCCACGCTGTCTGAGGCCCCATCTTCCCGCAGCATCTGTCCCTCGGGCCCCACGTAGCTCCGCAGCCCATGGGGGAGAGAGACATTCAGAGGTACCATCTCAGGGAAAAAAGATGTTTTCAGTCAAGGCTGGAAATGAGTTGGAGGGTTGATGAGGCAGAGAGCTGTGGGGAGAGGCTCTCTCTCGGAGAGCAGGACTCTCAGAGGAGGTGGCGGCCATGTCTCTTAGATCCGCATCTGCTGGTCTGTGTCAGGGGACCTGGAGGAGAGCCGGCAACGGGAAGCAGGGCGGAGGTGGGGTTGGGAGCAGAGGAGAACTGAAGGCCTAGCTCAAGGCTGGTCCCAGTCTGAGTTAATGATTTTAGCAAAGTGGGAAGGAGGGCTTTTAATGGTATTCAGAGACGTTAGGAGCCTCTAATGTCTTCCTTTTCTCTCTGGTCTGAAGGGGCTGAGATGGAATTCCAAAGCCCTTGTTTTCTTCTGCTCTTCTGATCTCATCGCGGCCACTGCCTTCCGTCTGCTGCAGTGAGGGGAAGGGGGCCCTGTGTCCCTTCTTCGCTCTTGTCCCAGTGCTCCTTGGTGTGGGTTGTGCCCACGTGTTGCTGAGGCTGATGGGGCCAGCGTGCCCGGCCTGCTGCGCTGCACACTGTCGGGGAAGGGTGGCGGTTGTGTGGCGAGACTAATTTCTAATGGAAGATCAGGGACCTGGGAATGTGCACAGGCGCTGGCCTTTAGGGAAGCTGCTCCGGGAGGCGAAGTACTTTATGCTGCTTATGCTTTTGTGCCTCCAGATGTTCTTGGGTTTCTCTCTGGGCATTTCCTTGGAGAACCCTCATGACTTTATAGACATCTCTTCCACCAGGACCATTATTCTGTATCTTAACACTCACCTTAGGCATCCAGGTTAGCGCTGTATTTCTTTTACCTGTTTCTAAACATGGAGTTCACTCTGAGCAGATGAAAACATGGCATCGTCAAGGAGAGATGGAGCAGGACGTTCTTGGTGCACTCCTGCTGCTGTCTCTGGAAGAGGGAACAGTCTCCTGCCTGGCTCCCTTGGCCTTCCTGTGCTGGACCTCTGTGGACTCTTCTGGGTGGCAGGGCTAGGAGACTTGCTGCTGCTCCTGCCGGCTCACAAGCATCGGCCTGTGTTCGATTTGGGTGGCAGAGAGCAGCCTCTGGGGGCTCCCTGAATTGCTGGTGGAAGTCTTGAGTGGCAGGCAGAGCCCTGCTGAGGAGACAGAAACAGGGCCAGGAGCCATCCCGGGGAGCAGTCCGTTACTGACAGAGCTTCAGTCTTTGGCTGCCAGATCTGGAGCCACATCTTTAGGTTTTCACCTTGGGCTAAGCCTACCAGGTCCCCTGAGAGCCTACTATGGTGGGCTACCCTTCTCCTTCGGCTCTTGGGGACTTAGCCGCAGTGGGGCTTGCTCTATGAACAAATCCTGCCTGTATCTTTGAGGGGCTAGGCTTCCCTCTGGCCTGGGGCGCAGCCTGATTGGCGTGTGTGATTCTGGACCCCTGGGCCCTCCGTGAGGATTCCGCGTGCGTTGTTCTGTATTTAACGGGTGGGATATCAAATCTGGTGAGATGCTGTCTCCCCCACTTGGCAGGCGATCTGCGGAGCCTGCAGCTCCCCCAAAGCAGGCTTCACTGAAGGCCATGGAAGAGGCTGTGGCCCAGGAACTGGAGCGAGACCAGAGGCGGCTCCTGGAATCGAAGCAGGAGAAGATGCAGCAGCTGCGGGAGAAGCTGTGGCAGGAGGAGGAGGAGGAGATGCTCCAGCTGCAGCAGCAGAAAGAGAAGTCTCTCAGGTCCTGCCCCTTCCCTTAGGCGAGCTGCCGGGGCCCCGCAGTGAGGTGGGGGGCGAGTGATCCCTCCCCCTGCCCTGGAGACCCGGTGGCCCCACTGAGACTCCCCCTCCTCCGTGGCCCTATGTGGAGGAAGGGGCTCCCTGGTTCGTCTTTTTGGGACGGAGTTGGGAGGCGTGATAATAGTGGGAGTAGCCAATACTTTTTGAGAGATGACACTGGTCCCCATGCTTTGTATCATTAACTGGTGTAGTTCTGAGAGTGGCTCTGAGGAGGTGTTGCTCTCCCCCCATCTTATAGGACTGTGATACGGATAAAGAGACTGAGGCACAGAAAGGCTAAGTGACTTGCCCAAGATGTCGAAGTTAATAAGCAACAGGGCCCAGGCAGTCTGTGCCTGGAGCCTGTTTTCCTAACCACAATGTTGTCCTCTCTTGGGAGTCAGGGCCCTGTTGGGACCCAGTGAGGTTGGTGGGGACCACATGATACAGTGTGAGGTGCTGTTTCCCAGGACCCAGACGTTTCTAACTGGGTTCCTGCTCTTTGTGTAGCTGGCTGGGAGGCCCTTGACAAGTAAAACACTGTAAGGCTGGGCTGGATCTGTGTGGATGAGATTGTGTGTACACATGTGAACAAGCCGGAGGTTATTTTTATAAGGAAGGCATCTGGGGCTGGCATGGTGGCTCCAGAGTCACCAGGTCCTTTATTCTCTTTGCTGCCTATAGTGCTGGCTGCTTGCAGGGTCTCTTCAGAGTGCAGCATAGCTGCTGGCTCCCCAGCCATCATGTCTGGGCTGCAGGCAGGAAGAACAGGAATAGAGTACAAAAAGGGTAGCTTCCAGATCATTCTGTCCCTTTTAAGGTGCTGTCTTGGAAACTTCGCCCAATAACTTACGTTTATTCTTTAAAGAAGTTTTCTTGGAAAGTTTACTTAATAATTTCCATTTATATCTCCTGAGTTACCCCCGGCTGCAAAGGAAACGGGGAAATGTCGTCCTTGAGCTGGGCCTCTCTACCTGGCGGCATAAAATCGGTGCCCCTTTAGGAGGAGAGCGTGGGAGAGTGGCGACTGAGAACGTAGTCAGCCTTCTGTCACAGGCCGAGGGAGGGACAGGTTCTACAAAAAGGTGTTAATATGTTTTCCACTTATTTAGCAATGTAACTGAAGGCTCAATCTTTTTCTCTTGGATAGAACATGCAAAAGTGGTAGACTTACTTTTACATCATACATAGCAAAGAGTGTATAAAATGTTTATTTAGAGAGAGTAATAGAAAACCCATTTCCAGCTACCTAGAGGACTGGGGACAGTTGCTGTCATTAGCCCAACACAGAATCTGGTGACCCAGGGCCCACCCTTCTGTCACCCCTCTGGGATCCCCTGCCAGGCAGCAGCATCCTCTTCCAGTCAAATGAAAATTGGGGCCGGTGTCCCCCAAACGTGGTATGACTTGGCTGATCTTAACAGGCAGAGCCTAAGAGGAAATCCTGGTAGTGTCTCCCTGCCAGCCTGCCAGGCTCCTTTCTTCTTCCTGGCTACCCCAGGCCTGGCTGACTGTGCTTTCTATCCCTTGCTAAACCCCCAGCTCCAGAAGGCCTCTAGGAACCCTCTTAGGTTGTGCTGAAGACTAGCCTGCCAAAAGTAGCTGACTCAGGACCTGAAACATGGTAGTTGCTCAATAAATTGTAGCTCTAGATTTTATTTCCAGTTGAAATCAATGGTTTCAGTGGCCTTCATGAAGTGATTTTTCTGTCGGTAGTGCCCTGTCAGAGTTGCTTTGAAATAGTTCATTGTGAGAACCCTGTTGCCGCTTACACATGAGACTATTTGAGGGCTGGGGCTGTCTCTGCTGGGCAACTTCCACCTGGTAGAAATTTCTGGAAGCCACAGATGACTCTGTAGCAGATACTTCTTGACTGAGAAGGCAGGCAGGAAGACAGGCTTGACCCTTAGTTTCTTTAGTCGTAAAAGGAAGAGATTGAATTTAATTGTGAGATGAAGAGAGACTGTTGTAAAATGAAGGACTTGACCTCTCAGGGCCCTCCCAGCTCTGACATCCTGTGGTGCTGTGTGGAAAATGGAGCCACAGGACAAGGAGAAGGGGTTTCTGGGGAATCCAGGAGGAAGGATTTTCATTTAACTCAAATTTTTTGTCACAATGGAAGAGAGCAGTGGTGCAAGTCACTTGAAATAGAAAATGACCCTAAAAGGGCGCCTGTGGGGCTCTGTCGTTAAACATCTGCTTTCAGCTCGGGTCATGATTCCCCAGGGCCCTGGGATCGAGTTGCACTGGGCTCCCTGCTCATCGGGAAGCCTGCTTCTCCCTCTCCCACTCCCCTTGCTTGTGTTCCCTCTCTTGCTGTGTCTCTTTCAAATAAATAAATAAAATCTTTAAAAAAACTTAGAAAGAAAGGAAAATGACCCTAAATCTTCTTTGGCTTTGGAATTCACCAGGAAGCTTTTCAAAGACATTGTCTTCTGAATCATGTTTTTTTCTTTTCTCTCTTTTCTTTTTTCAAAGATTTTATTTACTTATTTGTCAGAGAGAAAGAGCCAGCGAGCAGAAGCAGGCTCCCTGCTGAACTGGGAGCCCAATGCAGGACTCCATCCCAAGACCCTCGGGATCATGACCTGAGCCAAAGGCAGTGGCTTAACCAGCTGAGCCACCTGGGCGTTCTGAATCACGTTTTTGTTAGGCTTGAGTTCCCTGAGTGCACAGCACACAGCCCCTGGTCTTGTGGGGGCCGTGTGGGCAGGGGTATCTGCCTGGGATAAAATGCTTACTGTCGTTTGACCATAAATAAGACGTCCCTCACGGATCATCGGCGCTTGCTTGTAGGTTGGGGCTGGGTGATGCTGTTCCAATCCCACAGACATTTATGGAGCACCTACTTCATGTCAGCAACTGTGTTTGGCACCTCAGATATAACAGACTCTAAGACATGATTCTTTCTCTGGAGAAGCTCCCAGACTTGTAAGGAAAAGGCACACACAAAAGATGAAATTACGATATGCGGTACAGAGCAGCATGGGACAAGCGAGGGCCTCACAGAAAAGGCGAGGGGAACAGAAAGGCTTATTGGTGAACCCAGATGGACTTGGAGAGACTTCTCTGAGAGGAGGAAGCTGGGTGTGAGTGGTGAATGTGACTCGGTCAAGTGAAAAAGGGATTTCTCAGGGGAGGCAGCAGCACGAGCAGGGGCCCAGAGGCCAGGGGGAGTGTGGTGGCATTGAGAGGCGGTGGCTCCCCTGATGTGGCTGGAACTGTTGATCAGGCTGTGAGTGAGAGGACGTGGCGCCAGAGCCGGGCTGGGACCATACTCCATCTGTCCTTGAGTAAATGCCGTGCCGAGGTGTACCTGTTCGCAGAGGGGAGCCCCTGGCAGAAATGCTATTCTGGGTTCAAGCAGCCTGTCGTCCTCTTGCTGCAGGAAAGGGCAGGAAGTGTTCCTGGCCCCCTCCTACTCTGGAAGGTCTTACATGGAGGCAGCAGGACCCGGATTTAGGAAACTTCGCGGGCAAGCTACAGGCATTTGGAGACCGAGAGTTGGGGATGATAACAAACTTGCCTTTCTTTTCCATCTCAGTTCCCTGAAGGAGCAGCTGCGGAAAGCCACCGAGGAGGAGGAGACTCAGATGAGAGAGGAGGAGAGCCGGAGGCTGTCCCAGCTCCGGGCCCAGGTGCAGTCCAGCACCGAAGCAGACGAGGGCCGCATCAGGTGAGCACACCGCGAGCCGGCTGCCCTGGAGGAGCCGCCCCGAATGCACGGGCACGTCCCATTCCGTCTGTCTGTCCACCCAGGGCCGAGCAGGAGGCTTCCCTGCAGAGGCTGAGAGAAGAGCTGGAGTCTGTCCAGAAGGCTGAGAGGGCCAGCTTGGAACGGCGGAGCAGACAGATGCTGGAGCAGCTCAGGGAAGAGATGGAGGCCTCGGAGAAGAGAGAGCAGGCTGCTCTGAATGCCGAGAAGGAGGCGGCTTTGCGGCAGCTCAGGGAGCGGCTGGAGCAGGAGAGGAAAGACGTGAGCCTGCAGTGTGGAGCCTCCCGTCTGACATGCCCCTGGGCTGCCTGGGGAGGGGCTGGGTGCCAGGCTGGGCATGTGGGGTGGGGGACCGGGCACGGAGGAGGTGTCTGCACCGCTGGCACGGGAGATGGGGGACGGTTGGTAGGCCGACCATCTGGGCCCACCAGTCCTCGCGGGTCCAACTGTCTCAGGGCAAGGTGCTAAGCCAGGTCTGTGTGGCACAGCGAGGGAGTGGCAGGTGTCCAGGGGCGCTTTTTAGAGCCAGCGGTAGCTGGTGCTGTATGTGACAGTGAAGAGGTTGGAGGGGAAATGGCCTGTGGATTTGGGAAGATTTCATGACTGAAAGAACTTAGACCATGCCAGGTTCTGAGTACAAGGTGCCCTGTCCCCATCCCTGTCCTGGAGGGGCATCTGCGATGACCTTTCACCTCTTCTGCTGTAGAGAGATTGCACACTTGGCGGGGTGGGGGGTTCTCCTTAGTCTTTACTCCCTGTGCCTTCAGTCCTGTCTCTTGATGGTCTGTCTCCAGATAAGAGCAGGAAGTAAGGAACAGTCCAGCCACTTGGAACTTTTTTGCTAGATAAGGAGAGACTGCAGGAGGTGGGGGAGGGCGTCCCTGTCGCACAGGTGCTCGGGCAGATTGTGCTGGACCTCCAGCCCTCACAGCCTCAGACCCTCGGAGGCCTAAGTATGACCTGTGTATCTGGGGCCTAGCCCAGGGGCAGGGGTTTGGGAGTGGTGACCTGAGGCTTACTGAAATGGCCCTCCACTCTGGCCTTCATTTCCTGTTCATTTGCTAGTTGTAACCTTTAGGGATGGAGTTATTCTGGGGGAACAAAGATGTGTCTGTGTTTCCCCTTGGTCCTTTAGCTGGAAGGGAGTCAGGCATGGGCTTCCTCCCTCCGGGGTCAGTGCCCGGCCAGGCTTCCCTGCCCTGCAGCCCTCACGGGCCCCCTGTTGCTCCCCAGGCAGCGGCAGCGCTGGAGAGGGAGCACAGGGCCGAGCTGGAGCGGCTCTCTTCCTCGCTGGAGGCCAAGCACAGAGAGGTGAGATGCAGCCGGCCCTGGGATGCCTAGCAGAGCCTGTGTCCTGTTCCCTCAGACACAGCCTCAAGGCCCCTTTGCTGCTGGTGGGCAGAACTCGACCCCAGGCCTGCCACTGGGGCGGGAGCCTCCTTGCCCCCGAAGCCCCCTGGGGTTGGGTGCTAGGCCCCCAGCAGGGGAGTCCCTGAGGCTGCTCCGTGGCACTGAATGTCCCATCCCCTGTGCTGGGGCCTCCTCAGGTTGTCTCCAGCCTGCAGAGGAAGATGGAGGAAGCCCAGCAGAAAGAGGTGGTCCAGGTGCAGGAGAGCCTCAGTTGGGCGGAGCAGAGGGCTCAGCAGAGGGCTCAGCACGTGCTCGAATACGAGCAAGAGGTAAGTGCTGCTGGGCAGCCTCGACCTCACATGTGCCTGTCCTGGGTGCTCCGTCCTGGCCCTGCAGACCCGGCTCTGCTCTGGAAGGTGTGGCGGGGACTGGATCTTCTGGTTGCGTTTCTGTGCCTCCGCTCCCTCGAGCCGGCTGCTTCTCCAGCCCCGTGCCCTCGGGCGTGCATATGCTCCCCCTTCCAGTGCCTCGGTCCCCATGTGCCAGGCCCCCCCTCACGCCTGCATGTCGCGTCCCCACTGCCTACTCTGCAGCTCAGCGGCCTCCTGCGAGAGAAGCGCCAGGAGGTGGAGAGGGAACACGAGAGGAAGATGGACAGGATGAAGGAGGAGCACCAGCAGGTGGTGGCTGAAGCCAGAGAGCAGTACGAGGCCGAGGTGACTTGCCCCCGGGCACAGACCCGGCACACGCGCACACACCCTGCGGTCCCCGGCAGCTGGCTGGCCTACACTGGTGCAGTCCTGATGGCCAGGTTACTCCAGCAGCCGCAGCAGACCCGCGCTCTTCCTTCCCCGAGCGGCTGGGCCCGCAGGTACTGAGTTCCTACCCCGTGTTAGCACTGTTCGCAGCCCCTGATGGGTGCGGACTCTTTTAGTCCTCCTAGCACGCCGAGGAGGTGCGGACTATCGTGACCTCCAGTCTGAAAGTGGAACGGAGACTTGGAGCATAAGCACCTTTCCCAAGGGCTCCAGGCTAGTAAGTCGCGGAGCTGAGATTCAAGTCCAGATTGTCTGACCCCAAAGTCTTCGGCTTTAACCAGCCCGACACCGAGCCGTCAGGGTTAACCAGACTTTCCAGCACACACAGACTGGCAAGAGCCTGACCCTCCTTGGGTCTGATCTACCCCTCTTCAGCCTCCCCCATACGTGGGCTGGCTCACGGGGTGAACAGGGGCGGTGGTGGGGCCTCACTTTGGCTCACAGCTGGGCCTCGGCCCAGGGTTCCTAGGCTCCTGTTCTACTACCTGAAACCCATATCCCAGCCTGTCTGGATGGTCCTTTCCCACACAGAAGTAGCTGGTCTGTGATAAAATGTCGCAGCTCCCTTTCCAAACTGATGCAGACCTTGCTCAAGAGTAGTGAGAATTTATTAATGGGCTCTCTTCCCTCGAGGAGCTGCACACAGCGGACAGCAGGGCAGGCAGATTTCCACTGTGGGGGTGGGAGGTCTCAGACCAGCGCCTGCTTCAGTGGCAGAGAGGGGTGCGGGCTTTCTTGCGGGGAGGCCCGGGTGCTCCTCCGTGCTCTCCTCTTCTCGAAGAGCTGGCCCTGGAGAGCCACTGAGGTCCCCGACCTCCCTGACCCGAGCCTGCCAGTGTGAGGGGCTATGGCTTTCGGCGGGTGAGGGCCACTGCCGTTGCCCGCCAGCAGCCTCCTGTCCCGGGCAGGAGAGGAAGCAGCGGGCGGAACTGCTGGGCCACCTGACCGGGGAGCTGGAGCGCCTGCGCAGGTCCCACGAGCGAGAACTGGAGGCTGTGAGGCAGATGCAGGACAGGCAGCTTGAGGACTTGCGGCGTCGGCACCGGGAGCAGGTGGGGACTCCGGGTGGTCACCGGGGACCAGGGTGGGTGAGCCTGCCTCGGACACCTCCATGCAGGAGAGGTGGGGGTGGGGGCAGACGGCCAGCAGAGCCTGGACAACTTCAGGCATGGGGGTCTCTCACAGGCCATTTCCAGCCAGGACACATGTGCTCCTTTGTTTTCTGGGCCAGCAAACATCCCTGGGATTAGAGGAGGTCAGCCCCCCCCAGGACCCTGGGGTGGGTGCTTTGTCTCTCCTTGCCCCCACTGGGAAGACACAAGGTGGTGCTTTCACGGGGGCCTCAAGGGCAAGTGGGACGAGGCTGAGCCTAGCTTGGAGGGTGTGCTGTGGAAAGGGGGTCCTGGAGCTCCCTCCTGTCCCCTCAGCTAATGCCTGGCACACTCTCTACATCTACATCTTTTGCTCCACCTATTTCTGTGCAGGAAAGGAAACTCCAGGATTTAGAGGTGGAACTTGAAACCAGAACCAAAAATGTCAAGGCCAAATTGGCTCACCTGGGCCTCCAGGTGAGAGAGTGGGAGCCCCGGACCTTGGAGTTGTAGTTCCCCTAGGAGAGCTCGGAACCTCCTGCCCCTTAGAGCCGGGGTGCCTGGACACCCACTTCTTTCCCTCCCCCGCAGGAGGAGACGGCCCGAAAGGAGCAGCAGCAGCTCCTTGACGCGCAGAGGCAGGCTGCGCTGGAGAGCGAGGTTCGGCTGGCTCCCTTGTCCTCCCTCACCTCCGCCCCGTGCCCTTTACCTTCCCTCCCTCTCTCCCCGCAACATCCCACCTTTGGCTCACCCGCTCTGTCCCCAGCTTTAGGGTTCCAAATGCTGGTGGTAGGATGACAGCACGGCCCCCTGGAAGGAGCCCAGCTGGGGACCCCCGTGGGCAGGGGCCATGGAGGGTGGCAGAGTCTGCACGCCTCCTGCCCTCGGCATAGTGACTTCACAGGGCTTGAGGTCCACGCTTGCTCCCGTGCTGCTGCTGCCTGCCTTTGTCCCATGTGTCTCCGGGTGCTTCTGTCTTTTCAGGAGGTCACAGCCAGCTACCAGCACTTGGAGGAGGCAAAGAAGGAGCACACGAACCTGCTGGAGTCCAACCGACAACTCCGAAGACTCCTGGATGAGCTTCGGGCCCGCAGGGCGGAGCTGGAGTCCCAGGTGGAGGCGCTGCAGACCCAGAGTCGGAGGCTGCAGAAGCACATCAGGTGGCCCGCGGCCCCGCACTTGGCCCCCCTGCTGCCCGCTGCCTGCCAGTGACGCGCCTGGGCCCCGCTGCTCCGGTGGGGGTGGAGCTGGGTGGAGGGGCTCTGCTGCGTTCGGCAGGGCGTAGGCGTGAGAAGTGTGAATGGCTCCGGTCGTGCCCCGTCCTGCTGTCTTTCTGAGATCAAGGCTGGAAGCCCACCCCAGCAGTCACCATGACCTGCTGCCCCCCCACCCCCCCATCACAGCGACCTGGAGGCTGAAGCTCAGAGGAAGCAGGACATGTTGAAAGAGCTGGAAGCTAAGGAGAGCAGCACTGCCCCACGTTTTGAGCCAGACCTCCACATTGAGGACCTGAGGAAGTCCCTTGGGACCGTGAGTTTCTCTGTGCCGTGGAAGGGACAGGGTGGTGGGACAGGGGCGGGGCTCCCGGAGGGGTCCTGGCTTTGCTTTACCACCTTAGCCTCCTGTCCTTAATAGTCCCCCTTCCTCATTGCCATCAGTCACATGATGGCTGTAAGCGAATGGTGCCCAGCAGCCCCCAGAGCCATTTCTGTGTTGAGGCCCCTGGGAGAGGCTTTGGGGGTCCCTTGAGCCGGCGGTCTACCGGATGTTGACTGGGCCTTTTTTACTGTGTGTTTTTAGAACCAGACCAAAGACGTACCCTCTTTTCTCTCCCAGAGCAAGGAGGAGACCGACTTGTCCTTGGACAGGTGAGTTCTGATAGCCTTAGTTTGGGTCCAGGAGTCCATGAGAAGGTGAGTGCCTGCACCACAGACCTGGGGTGAATGGAAATGGGTTGACCATGACCACCACTGGGGCTTGGTTCAGGGCCAAGGACCTGGGGGACCGAAGGAATTTCTTTAGCAAGCCAAGAAGCTGCCCCTGGTGACCGCTGGCACAGCATGCTGGGATATGCTGCCCTTTGGTTGAGGACCAGCCTGCTGGGAGTGTCTGGGCATCTCTCTGGAGGCCCCAGGCCCAGTCCCTTTAGAGGCAGGATGGAGGGACCCTGCAGCAGGCCGCATACTATAGTGCGAGGGCCTCGCAGTCTGTGCTCAGGGTGGGCCCCTTGGGGAAGCACCCAGGTGACCCGGAGCGGTTCTCAGCGCACATGTGCTTTCCCTTTCCAACCCCTCTGCCCTGGCCCGGCCTCCCCCCAGCGTCCGGCACTACCTCTCTGCCGAGGGAATGGCTCTCCGCAGTGCCAAGGAGTTCCTGGTACGGCAGACGCGCTCCATGCGGCGGCGGCAGTCGGCTCTGAAGGCCGCGCAGCAGCACTGGTGCCGGGAGCTGGCCCGTGCTCCGGAGGCCACCAAGGACCCCCTGGGCACCAAGGCCCTGGAGGACGCGCGCCAGGACCTGGAGGAGGTTGGGAGCCTTGAGGGGAGCCCGCTGGTCCTGCGGGGCACTGGGTCGGGGGACAGGACCAGTCGCCTCCGGTGACTGGGGGTTCCCCACAGTGTGGTCACATTAGCCCTGGGGCCATGGGACAGGGGCTGCAGGTTATCCATGTCCATGAGAATGAGAGCCCCTGATGTTGACATGGCACTGCACCGTACACGATGCTTTCTCGGTCCTCATGGTAACCAGAGGTGATTGTCCTCTTCGATTCCTAGGTGAAAAGGACAAGTAAGGTTTTTAAAATTGTACATCCATGTTTTGCTGGCCCATTCCGTCCCACTAAAGACGTGGTTCATCAGGGAGTCTTCTGAGCGCACGGGGTGGAACCGCCTGTCTGATGGCCTTTTCACTGGGAATTGGGCCAGGACTTTAGGGAGCCAGCCGAGGGTCTAGGCAGCGGCCGGGGCCGGCTCCCTAGACTTCCGTTGGTGCTTGGGGCTGCTACGGGGCAGGCTTCCCAGGGCCGTCTGCAGGCCGCCCTCGGGCCCTCGCGGCTCTGCTGAGTGCTGAGAGGCTGGGTGGCGGGAGCGGGGGCACTAGTGACCCTGGGGTGACAGTAATCCTTTGAGACCAGGTTAGGTGTGGGCCCAGGGCTCAGCCTGGAACAGTCTACCTCACTGAATCCTTATGAGCCTGGAACAGTAGTGTTCTCCTCTCGAGAGGACGGTCCACACTGAGAGCTACCTTGTCCAGCATCACCCAGACAACAGCACACAGAGCCGGGACTCCAGCGCCTTTCCTGAGCCCCCGGGTCTGTCATCCCCTCTCTCTCTGGCACCAGGAGACCAGGCACCTGGATGAGATGAAGTCAGCCATGCGGAAGGGCCACGACCTGCTGAAGAAGAAGGAGGAGAAGCTGAATCAGCTGGAGTCCTCTCTCCGGGAGGAGGTGCGGTGCGGCCTCCCTCCTCTGTTCCTGGGCTGCGGGTGGTTCTTCGGTCCCGTGGGGGGAGGAGCTGGGGCTTGTGGGCTGGTGAGATGGCAGTGGCTTTGAGGTTGCTGAGCCGGCTGTGCGCAGAGGTCCTAAGCAGACCCGAAGTCTCGTGCTGCAGCTTCTCGAGAGGCCCTGGCCCCTGCTGTGGTTCCTGAGGAGAGCTGGGCCCTGGGGTCAGCAGTGGGTCGGGAATGGACACACCTAGGATTTCCTCCCTTCTCTGTGGCCTCATCCATGTTGCTCTGGATGCTGGAGGCATGGGGGTGGCAGGAGGGAATCCTGAGTTTGCTGCAGGACAGGGGCTCTGGTCCTGTGTCCTCTTAGCCCCCACCTCCCTCCCCTCCCCCATGCCGCAAGGCAGCCTGTGTGTGTCCTTCTCCCAGAACTTCGGGTCCCAGAGAGGCCCCAGTCATCATATGGACAGGGGACAGAAGACACAGGGCAAGCGCCAGTACTCACTGCTGCTTGTACCCCTCAGGCTTTAGATGAGGACACTCGGCGCCAGACCCCCAAGAAGGGGGTGACATTTGACCTCAGCGACACGGACGACGTGAGCAGTGCAAGCTCCGAATCCTGCCCCCTGCCTCCCCATGAGTGGCAGTGTCGGCAGGGGGAGGACCATGGTATCCATGGAGAGGGAGGGGCTTACGGGGGGCCAAGGGCAGCCTCCCTCCTTCAGCCGTGCATGGGTGGGTCTGTGGGAGCCCGTGTCTGGAGCAGACCCTCAGGAGCACTCGGGAGGAGGGACCCCGTGGGGGTTTGCCAGCACATAGGGCAGAAAGGGTCCGGAGCTACCTGAATGCACAGGGACCTTCCCGTGCCTTCTGAGAGGTGTTCTCCCTCTGCCGCTCTGGTCTGCAGCCGGGCAGAGGGCCATCTCCTCCTCCTTCCTTGCCCGCTCCCTGGAGAGGCTTTCTCCCCTCTGCCAGCTTCCCGTCTGCACCATCTGGAACACAGAAGCTCTGCTGCCCATCTTGTCCCCATGGGCCGAGGGGCTGTGGTCCAGACCAGGAGGGTGCTGCTGTGCCTGGGGCCGTCCTGGGCCCTGAAGCCGAGTCCTTGCCTCCCTTTTAGTCAACCTGACTGCAAGTGCCACATTGCCCTACAAGTTCCACTACCTGAGCAGCAGCCTTCAGCGGATCAGCAGCCAGCTGAACGGCGTCCTCAGCATGCTGGGTGGTCTCAACCTCCCACCGCCGCCGTTCTTCACCTCCACGCCAGTGCCTGCCCCGCCCCGGAACCCCAGTAGTACCCCTGTACCCGCCTGCCCCTCCCTGGCCCGGGTCTCGGCCTGGCCGCCGGTGGAGCCCACAACCACCCAGTGGGCCTGGGACGCCGGGCTGGGCCCCACGCTCTCCTCCTCCGTGGCTCAATCAGTGGACGACTTCCTGCTGGAGAAGTGGCGCAAGTATTTCCCAAGTAAGCCTCCGTCCCTTCTTCTTCCTTTGCTGGCTCCTTGCCACCGTCTGCTTTGGCGTGGCCCATCCCATTATGGGAGGAAGGCTTGCCTGCAACCCTGTAGCCACAGGCTCTGTGGGCCATGACGGTTGACCTAGAGCCTTTCTGATGGGAGCTGGAGCTCAGCAGAACCTAAAAGGTCATCCCTGTCCTCATTGTAAGAACTGCCATCTTGTGCCTTGTGTGAGGGGCCAGGCCTGAGTCCTTCTAATAACCCTCTGAGAGAGGAATATTTATCCCCACCTTACAGATGAGAAAACTGAGACTCAGGTTAAGGGCTGTGCTCCAGGGTACCGAGGAGTAAATAACACACTGGAGTTTGGTTCTCTGGCTCTGTGATTTCAGGCTTCTGCCCAGAACCTCCTGGCCATACAGCTTTGCCCAAAAGTTACATATCTGTTCCCTGCCTCAACCCAAATAGAAAAGTAGATTCGATTTTACAAGTAAATAGGACAATTCCTGTCTCTCACCTCCAACCACTGAAGCCTGTGCTGTTGTGTTGTCCGTGGGAGGCAGGAGGCGTGCTGGTGAGCTGGGAGGCGGCCTGCTGGGGCTGGCTTCTGCAACCCATTTCTGGATGATTTCCTCCCACCTTTCCAGCTGGAGTACCGTTCCTCAGCAGTAGCCCCGCGCCCCTGGAGCACAGGCTGGGTTACGTGTCTGCCAGGTAAGCTTCCTGTGGGCTCAGGGTGGAATCGCACAGGCCTGCTGCTTGCGGTGCCTCCCAGCAGAGCAGAAGTTTGGTCGCGTTGCCCAGAGAGCCCGGACAGGTCCCCACAAAGCTGCCTGGGTCTCAGGTGCCTCTACCACCGTCAGAGAAAAGTCTACCCTGCCGAGGTCCCAGGGGCGGCTGGTCTCACCTGGCCCAGCTCTATGAGGAAGCCGCCTGGTAGCACCTGCAGGGAGAAAGCAGCCTTGGCAGGACCCTGCTCCTTGCCTGGCCCCTCCTGGCCTTGAGTGTGGCTTTTGTCTTTGCCATGGAGCTCGCTGTCTGCTTCATAGGCTCCCTTCTTCCCGCTGTCCTGCTAGCCACATCTGGAGTGAGAGGGGCACGCTGTGGGAGAGGCAGATGGGCAGTTATCTAAACCTGTTAATTTCCCATTCATCTTCTTCCTTGCCAAGTGTAGCCCCGCCCCACCACAGGTGCCCAATCTTAAGCACCCCCGCTTACCCCCTGGTCCACTCGGAAGCGGATGCTGGGCAGGTACTGGAGTCACCAGGGGAAAGCTTTTACTGATCAGATGTGCTGGGACCAGGCAGAAGTGGGAGCCCTGACATCAGGAGTGCTCACCTAGGGGAGGGAGGGGAGGGTGCCGTTCACCACCTTGTCTTGGGGGAACTGATGCTTGACATTCCAGAAGGGCGTTCTTGCCAATAAAGGAAACTTGGAGTTGCTAAAGCCACCCCGCGGAGGCCATGGCTGGTGTATGGGGTGTGCAGAGAGGAGGAGGGAGAAGCTTGGGGCTGGTCTGCTGTGCCACATATGCGTCCACTCCTCTGGTCTGCTGTGCCACATATGCGTCCGCTCCTCTCTCCTCACGCTGGCCTCTGCCTTCCCAGCGAGCAGCTGCGTCTCCTGCAGCGGGCCCATTCCCATGGCTCCAGCCTCCAGGTGGGCAGCACAGACTTCCAGAGCATGATGGAGGCTAACCGAAAGTGGCTAGAACATTACAGGAATGACCCCAAGTTGTATCCTTTGTCTGATCCCTGAGCCTTGGTCCCTCCCTGCTGTGTTGCTGGGATGGCAGAGGTGTGGTTGTGCCCTGGGCGGTGGGAGTGTCCAAGGGGGGGTGCCCGTCTGGGCCTTGGCCCTTCCCTGGACCCGCTTAACTGACCTGACCACAGAGTCTTCCTTTACCTTGTGGCCAGTCATCTCTTCTCTTCGGTGCCCAAGCCCGCAGCTACCTCAGGCCTTCTGCATCTGGGCCTGGATGAGAACAACGGACTGAGGGTGTATCATTACTAAGGCCCCGAGCCCCTCCCGCACCCCGACCAAGTGCCTGTGGAGCCGCCCGCGCTCTGGACCCAACACAGCATTCTTCTGCCCTGTTTGCTGCCTGCCCCCTCGGAGGAACCGGGGGCTGCGCTGGAAACCATGAGCCGCCCCCACCCCCTGAGACCGTGTACCGCAGGCTGAAGAGTGTGGCCTCCTGCGAGATCCTGTCTGGACAAGGTGACACTGATGGGGGGGGGGGGGGTGTCCGAGCCCGGGCACCTGCAGGAGGACAAGAACAAGGTATTAGGAGTTGCCTTCCGAGGCCAAGGGCCTACGGGCTCTCTGTGCACGGGATTCTGGCAGTTGTGGATGTGTGGCCCTTAATTCACCAGGACGAAGCCCCCAGCATGTCTGGACCCTGGGCCCCATCTCTGATACCTCAGCCTCAGAGAGATCAGACCATTTTCTTTCTCTTTTTTGTAAGTCTCCTTTCTTGAGCACTCTGTCTCAGGATTGGGCCCAGAGCCCTACCAGAGGTGGCTGGAAGTGGGCCCCCAGACGCTCTGCTGCCCCTCCTCCCTCCGCTAGCTCCTTGCTTTCCTCAGGGGTGCTCCTTCCCTTCCCTCGGGCTCCTCCCCGGAGTCCTCCCCCCACCTCACCCCCAGCTCAAGTCTCAGGTCACAAGCGCACGACTTACAAGAAGCCAACAAGCCATAGGAGGGGTCTGGGGTGTCTCTGGGTCCGCATCGTGGTTTTCTCTTTCTGGACCACCATGGGGAGAGTTGTGGGTTCTTGTTTCTGTCCCCTGGCAGCCTCCTCCGGGCTGGGCCACACAGGGTCGCGCTCCCTTCAGTCCTGCTTCCCGTCAGAGGGCTCTCCTGGGGGCTGCCGTGGATGTTCTCAGACATCTGTCCCATCGTTTAAATAAAATGCCCCCGTGTTTGTCTTGAAGGCTCTGGGGTTGCCCTTGCCTCTCCGCTGCACAGCCACCAAGTCTCTGCAAGCCTACCTCTCATTTCTTTGTCTGAGAAACTTTTGACCCCCACCCCACGCCCACTTTTTAGGCATCTACCATAGAGAAAAAATTCCGTTTCATGATTTGGCTCCTCCTGGGTGCTTTGGGGCTAGCGCCTGTGTTACAGCCAGCTCTGTGACAAGCCTGTGTTTTCTACATCAATTAAATCCCTGCACGTCCATTTGCCACAAGGCAGTCGTGTGAATGTGTCTCCTTCTCTTTGAAGGCCTTTGCCTCCCTCCTCTTAAGAATAAAGGGAGCGAAAACTAACATGCACAGGCCACCTCCTAGGGTCTCATCTGCAAGCCTGTAATCTCAGTGGATGGATGAAAACCCGGAGGCTCGGAGACCCGGAAGGGGCTGAGGTCCTGAAGGAAGTAGCCCAGTGTCCACCCAGCACAGAGCCCCCGGCCCCCTCTGTGCACCCCAGAGCTCCTTGTCCCTGAAGTGCTGATTTGCTTCACCTCTCTCCCCCACCCCCACTCTGCCACCTACCAGCTGGAGACTCATCCTGAGTCCTGCTGTTTCCCAAAGGCCATTGGGCATTGTTTTCTGACGTACACAAATGACAGCTAAGCCCCCTGAAGGCCCAAGCTGGCAAAGTTAGGTGGGTTTTGTTTTCTGCTCCAGTGGTGTGAGCAGCCGGCATAGTTTGAGTTTGTAGCGACAAAATTGCTGGGAGAACCAACTGAGAAGGCCATGTTTCATGGATTTGCATGAGAAAACCAACTTAAAACACAAATTAACCCAGCTTCCATCAGTGGCCTAGCTGCTCTGCTGCAGGGAGGGAGGAAAGATGTAACATTTGTCCAATATCTTCCGTGTGCGGGTTCTCTTCAAATATCTCATTTAACCCTCTTAACCTGCGAAGTTAGTATATCTTATAGATGGGGAACTTCAGGCTCAGAGAGGTTAAATGAGTACAGCTCAGGTTCGCCCAGGATTTGAACCGAGATCTCTGCGTCTCTAAAAGCGGAGTTTTGAGCCTGCTCCCCAGGTCGGCGTCGGCACCCTCTGTCCTTCTGACTCACACAACGGTCCTGGCCAGCTTGATCTGAAGACCCGTGTCCCAGGGAGGGAGTGGCTTCTAGCTGGGTGAGCAAACCCCCCAACCTCAGACCCGAGCCAAGCTTTACTGGGGGACTTTTTCCAAAGACCCCAAAACTGTCCCCTCTCTCCCCTCAGAGACTGTAAAGTCTAGCTGGGGAGTCTAGACTCCTAGAGCTTTGTAGCTGAATGGAGCCTTGCAGACGACTGTTCAGCCCACTCCCGTTTGTAGAGGCAGAAACAGCCTAAAGAGATTAGGGTTACCCAAAGTTACAGCCGGGGTGTGGCAGAAGCAGGACTGAGACCTAGTCGGGCCCACCAGCCTGGGGCTTCAGGAAAGAGTGTTTTAAAAAAGATACTAATTTTGAACAGGCTACACGTTCACGTGGCTCAGTATTCAAGTGACACAAGTTACTTCATCCACTGGCCAGTCTTCTCCTGGAAGGTTCCTTCTGGAGATTTTATGCAAATACAAGAAAAGAAGGGGCAGTGTTTTGACCTTGTTCCCTTGTTCCCTTGTGGGGTAAGGGTCATTCCTACCGTAGGATCAGACAACCTCCCAAAGCTGTCTTGTGAAATGTTCACTGTTTTCTTAAGGGAGCAGTGTTGGCCATGGCAGCCCCCCTGCTGTGCAGACTTCCACACAAAGTGGCAGCTTGGGGAGGGGAAAGAACCCTGACCTGAGGATGGCCGGGTGTGCCTTTGGCTGGAGCACCTGCAGGCTCTGACCTGAACAAGTCCTCTTCAGGCCTGTGTCCCCGCGGTTAAAAGCTCAAAGTCTGAGCCCACATTCTAGGAGTGAAGCAGGCTGCCGCCTTGGGTGGGGAGCTGCTCTTACCCAGAGGGAGGCTGGAAAGCCTCCAGTAGCCCAAGATAGGCTCTGGTGGGGAGGGTGACTGGTGGGGGGTTTCCGGTCCCACCACCATCTTTTGCGGGAGGGAGGTGGAGAAGTGAGGACACATTCTTCAGTGTCCTGAAGAATGGGGGAATCCCTTTGTTCCTCCTTTCCTTTTGCATCTCCTGCCTCCCCCATGGACTCTGCCATCTCTAGCAGGTATGTCCCACGGAGGGCCCCGCGAGGGGTCATGGTGGAGGAGAGGGATGCCTGCTCTTGGGAGGTGGGAAGCAGAGGGACAGTGCGCGGAGTTCCACTCTCACAATTAAAAGCAGAGGGGTCATGAGTCAAACAAGAGTTCCCACTTTATCCTCTCTGTGCCTCAATTATCCTGTCTGTAAAATGGGGTGACCTAGCCCATAAAGTTGTTGGGAGGATAATTTTTTTTTTAAGATTTTATTTATTTATTTGACAGAGATCACAAGTAGGCAGAGAGAGAAGAGGAAGCAGGCTCCCCGCTGAGCAGAGAGCCCGATGCGGGGCTTGATCCCAGGACTCTGGGATCATGACCTGAGCAGAAGGCAGAGGCTTTACCCCACTGAGCCACCCAGGCGCCCCCTGGGGAGGATTAAAGAAGTTAATCCATATGATGTCCTCAAAACAGTGTTCAATGCATAGTAAGGGCAGTGACCTTACCAAGATAGCCACAAAGATTCCTGACCTCACGGCCCTTCATAAGAATAACTAGCAACTATTCACGGACAAGACACCACAGAGAACCCTAGAACAGCGCCAAGGCTGCAGCAGCACCTGCAGCACAGAGACCGAGATGGACTGCCCGGGAAGGGTAAGGGAAGTGGTACCTGCCGGCCTTACTGCCCCCACCCCAGGCCAGGGCAGCACCACGCTGAGAGGTCCCACCTACGGTGCCTCCAAGGGAGGAGAGTTCAGGTTAGACACCCAGTTCCCCCAGCATTGTGGGTCACTGGGTGGGAGCCCCTACTGTGGTTCTGCCCCATGGGATTGCAGGGGGGTCTGTGACGTAAGTGGGGAAGGATTTCCAACAACCGGCACTTAGATCTTGGCCAACCAAGTTCATACTTGCAGGGCCCAAGTAGTTAGTAATTAATCCCAACCAGGGGCTTTATCTAAACCAAGTCAGTGGTATGGTCTGGCCCGGAAACTAGGCAGGGTGCAGGTCGGCCTGATTTAGGTCTTCCTCCTCAAAGAGGAGTCTGTAGGCTCTGTAGTCTGGGCTGCCCGTGCCCAGGCAGCAGGGCTGTTGATAGCCCCCCAGCTGTGGAGTGTGGCTCCTAGCCCCTCCTGACCAGAAAGTCTGGTTTGGGAAAATTGGAGAGTTGCCTAAAGGGGGCTCTTCGTGTTCCACTGAGGCTGGAGAAGCTGAATCACGGCCCGCACTTGCTACAGAACATGGTGCTCGGCCCCATCTGATAGGAAGGCCCTATAAGAACACCTGGAATCTTCTGCATAACCCAGCCACACTTGGGCCAAGAGGCAAGTGTGCAGAGCCAACCCCCCGTAGGGCAAAGCTAGTGGCCCTGTTTGGTCAGCAAAGTGGGGACATGGGCCAGCTTGAGTCAGGACAGCAAAGAGCCTTCACGGTCTTGGAGCTGCTTCTCCCCCTGCGCCTCGGCAGGTAAACTAAATTCATAGTCCACCCTGCAGCCCATGTGACTAAGGAGCTTTACCAGAACACAGAGGAAGCTGCACGGCTCGCCCAGCAGCCCTGTTTACAGTGGCACTTGAACAGAGTGCGTAGCCTGGGGCTTTCCCTATCTGCAGAGCAAAACTGGTGGCCTCATGTGAGCAGGATATTCAAAGCACACTCTTGTCTGATTTGGGTCCCAAGACTGTGAACCATGCAGGCCTTGGGTACTGTCCTGCTGCCCGGCCAGGGCGGGGAAGCAAATTCATAGCCTTAAAATTTAGGCAACCATGGAGCTCATCCTATGGCCTCACTTGGGCAGGGACCAAGCCAGCGGTCCTGTCCAGCTGCTTTCAGCCAGTGGTATACCCAGCACCCTTGCTCTCAGAGCTTAAACAGTTGCCTTGTCCAAAAATAGACCCTAATAGCAGGCTTCATCTACCCAAGCCATTACCAGTAGATTTGTCCAGAATCCCAAACTGAGCTGACCTTTGAAATACTGTTTCTGCCAAAGCAAACCTGCAAAGTCTGGAAACAAAGACCAATTACTCCAATGCAGATAACCAATATAAGGAATCAAGGATCAAGAAAATCAGATGTGATACAACCAAAGGAAACAAAGAAAGCTTTATAACTTACTCTAAAGAAATGTAGATCTAGGAACTGTCAAAGAATTCTGCATAATCCTTTTAAAGTAGTTTAATGATCTACAAGAACATGTACACAACTAAATAAAATTAGGAAAACCGTTCATGAACAGAACTAGAAGTTCAACAAAGAAGCAAAAGCCATCAAAAAAACCCAACAACTCCTCGGGCTGAAAAAATACAATAACTGCACTGAAGAATTCAGTCAGAGCTTGGAAAGCAGACCCAAACAGGCAGAAGAATCAGCAACTTGAAAGATTGGACATTTGAAATTATCCAGTCAAAGGAACAAAAAGAAAAAAGAATGAAAAAGACTGAAGAAAGCCAGTGGGGCTTATAGGATACAATGAAAGGAAACAATATTCACATTATGGGAATTCTAGAAGAAGAGGAAGGGACAAACTATATTTAAAGCAATAGTAGGGGCTCCTGGGTGACTCAGTTGTTAAGTGTTTGCCTTTAGCTCAGGTCATGATCCCAGCGTTCTGGGATCGAGCCCTGCATCTGGCTTCCTGCTCAGCGGGAAGCCTGCTTCTCCCACTCCCCCTGTGTTCCCGCTCTTGCTGTGTCTCTATCAGATAAATAAATAAAATCTTTTTAAGATTTTATTTATTTATTTGACACAGATCACAAGTAGAGCAGCAGGCAGAGAGAGAAGGGGAAGCAGGCTCCCTGCTGAGCAGAGAGCCCGATGCGGGGCTCGATCCTAGGACCCTGGGATCATGACCTGAGCCGAAGGCAGAGGCTTAACTCACTGAGCCACCCAGGCACCCCTAAATAAAATCTTTTTTAAAAATAAAGCAGTAATAGCTGAAAAGTTCCTAAACTTGGGGAAAGAAAAAGATATCCAGATCCAAGAGGCCCAAAGGACCCCAAGTAGGAACCCAAATAGGGCTACACTGAGACACCTTAAATTACTAAAAGCTAAGCACAGAATTATATTTATTTTTAATTTTTTAAAATGATTTGAGAGAGGGAGGATGTGAACATGTGCTCCTATGGGGGAGGGGCACACGAGGAGAGAGAGAATCTCA